GTCTCATCCACGCATTGAGACTCTGAAGCTCTGCCTGCCTACCTGGCCCTGCGCATGGAACTGGAAGCATTTCCGAGAATGCCACCATAGAGGTCCTGGATTTCAGTCTCTTTCCTAGCAGCCTAAATTTGGCCTCCAGGACATCTCTCCTACCCTTCCTTACGTCATTGGTACCTACATGTACCACGACCACTGGCTCCTCCCCAGCACTACACAGAAGTCTGTCTAGATGCCTCGAGAGATCCGCAACCTTTGCACCAGGCAGGCAAGTGACCATACAGTTCTCCCGGTCATCACAAACCCAACTATCTATGTTTCTAACGATCGAATCACCCACTACTAACACCTGCCTCTTCCTAACTGGCATTCCCTCCCCATCAGAGGTATCCTCAGTGCGAGAGGATACCGCAACATCCTCTGGGAGGAGGGTCCCAACTACGGGATGGTTTCCCTCTACTCCCATTGAATGCTCTGTTCCTTTGAGACTTTCATCCTCCTTAAGAGCACTCAGACTGGAGGTGGGACAGTACTACAGTGTCCTGGAAAGTCTCATCAACATAGCTCTCTGACTCTCTGAGCTCCTCCAGTTCAGCCACCCTGGCCTCCAAAGCCCGAACTCAGTCTCTGAGGGTCAGGAGCTCCTTGTATAGCTCCATAGTTAAGGGAGTAAAAAGCAGTTCCTTCCTCCAACCCCTCACTTTCCACTAAAAATGATAGAAGATGTTTGAAAAGTCTCCTGCTTCATCTCAGGCTTGAGGAAATATGTTTTGCATAAGTTGAAATAAATCATTCAGACCGTTTTTTAGTGGAAAAATAACAGGCTTTGAAGACTTTTGTAATACATATGAGAAAGTATTTTCTAACTTGTAATTTAAAACAAGAGTAGGCTTGAGTTTAAATTTGGATCCGGGGGTGAAGCTAGAACATGCCACCTAGGCGAATGCCCAATGCCCTATCCCCTGAGCCATATGGAAACCCACCCCACCACCCTACCTTCATAAGGTCCCTTATGTCCTGTGTTGGCGGTCTGGTGGATCCAGGGGCGGGGCTAGAAGGACTTCTGGCCCTTTAAGGATTAAAACCCAGCCCTGGGAGAGGGCTAGAGTGGTGGAGCCAGGAGTTGAGGCAGAGACAGCCAATTAGGGCCCAGCTGGGGCTGTATAAATAAGAGCTCTTGGAAGCGCGGAGACAGACTCATTTTTGCTCTGGCTGTGGAGCAGGAGGGACCTAGCTGCCAGGGAATCTAAAGGCTTCCTGACATAGAGGAGGGCTGGGGAAAGACAGGCAGAGCTGGAGGAGCTCTGGCCAGGCAAGGTCCCAGGCTGCAGGGCCTGAAGCAAAGAATGAGAGTACTAAGGGGAACAGCCAAGATAGCAGAAGGCACCAGGTCTACACCCCCTTGCTAATGATCAATGGTCATTTCAGACTGCAGTTTGCCCCTGAGGTAAGGGGCTATATGTCGTCTGGCAGTGCGTCACTGAGGCAAGGTGCGTATAGGGGGTACCCTGAAGGGGAGGACCCAAGTGTGTGAAGGATCCCAGAGCGTGGGGATACTGCAGTGGGGCAGTACCCAGAGGAAACGGTACCATGGTCTGGGAGGGACATAGGTCCTAACTAGGGCTATTAATTAACACGCATTAACACCTGCGATTAACTCGGGGCAGAATTAATGCGTCAAAATAATTAACACATTAATCTCAGGTGTTTCCTTGCAGCACTGCCCCT